TAGATATTAGATATAAATAGTTATTAGATGGATAGATATTAGATAGAAATAGTTATTAGATAGATAGATATTAGATATAAATAGTTATTTGATGGATAGATATTAGATATAAATAGTTATTAGATAGATAGATATTAGATAGATAGGTGGATGGATGTACTTTATTAATCCCAGGGTGAAATTTGAGGCATCCATTAGCATATTCTAATTACAATATACAGAAAAAAAGACGCATGAAATAATCAAAAAAGAAGCAGAATACACAAATTTAGAAAAAGACAATATGCACATGCACAAGTTGTTAGGGAGAACTACATTCATAATTAACCTATATATATATATATATGTATACATACATACGCATCTAAGCATACATACACATATACATGTATATACTTATGCATATGTACATGTATATATACATGTAAAGAACTTATAAATAGACTGAGCTGTTCTGTAGAAAAAGTTTGGCAACAAGATGTCTGAACAGGACAAGGCATAGTGTTCAGGCAAAGGTCTTACTGTGGACAAATGTAACTGGGAGCTATGGGTCATGAGAGCTACAAAGAGGAGTTGACAGAATAAATACATGGTGTGTGCATGAAATGATGATAAATATACTCAGAAGGAGCCTGATCAAGTTCAAGAAAAGCAAGTTAGGAGGAGGAGATGGCAAACAAAGGAAATACAACCATAGAAATCTGAGTTAAGACGGTCTCTGTCAAGATAATATAGTCTGAACCTCGGCTATTTGTTGACCAACATGATTTTTAGTTCATATTATATCAGAAAGTATAAGTTTAATGATTGATACTTGGAGAACCTGTCAAGCAAAAGCATTTATTTTATGACTGTATAGAATATGGAAGATGACAATATGTGACTGACATTATTCAGGATATATTGCAACATTATCCAACAAAATACCGTTTGCTTCTTTATCAGTGTACTGACAAACTTTCATGTCACTGTTACCTATTGTTGAGATCATATTTCAGTCCATAAAAATTTTATTTTATGGCTTTTTGGAATTGTCAGAGACCTTGAACCTCAAAAGGCAAACAACGTCTGGAGAAAAGACACAATTCCCCTTGCGGTTGCCCTTGTTTAGTTTTCTTCGGTCCCTCGATGCCAATGGGACTATAATTGTACTATATAATCCCATGGGCAGTTGAGCCAACATTACTAATATGGGCTATTTGAGTCATAAATTCAAATTAAGCAGGACATTTTAGTTTTGGTTCTGGGAAAGTGGGACAAACAGAAAAATTCCCTTCAAATGTAAGGCATGTCTGAGAAAATTCAGCATACTCTTTTTATATTTCATTTTATCTGCTTATTAAATTATCTGCTGTATAAATAAACTGAAATTGAAATGCTACATTATAAAAATGGTGTAAGATGCTAAAAACGGGAACACGTCTGCATTGGTTTTTGAAATGAACTTAACAGTTGTTTAAATTCCCTTTAGTGAGGCCAAAGTCGTCAGCTTCAGATCTTTTTGCAAGGTGTTACAGGAGAAGGCCCCTTTGCCAAATTTGGTCCGCACTGATGGGACACTGCAGGTAATGATGTCTTGGGATCGCACGCCGTAACTGCACTGACAACGTGACATGTAGGAGGAGAAATGAAGGCAGCATAAGGCTGTAAAAAAAGGCGTACAAGCAGAAGGCCAACAAAATAGAAAGATCTGCAAAAAAAAAAGGATGAATACTGTTGCAAGATGTTTTACATGTACAAAGTTTTGTCTACAACTGTTAGAAGTTTCCATCTAACACTTTCCTCTCTTGTTTACTTTCCCTCTTTCCCACTCAGGAGGATTTTCGGAATAAAGTTCAAGATTACATCAAGCACTACGCCAGATGATAGATGGCTACTGACGTCAGCCTGCACCTACCAACCAAGCTGCTCCTTATTTGCCTCTGCTTATCTGGCCGACTCCTCCACGTGTGAATCAGCAGCAGACTCTATATGACTTTTACCGAAACCCTCCTTCTGACAGCGCAACCCCCCCACCCACTATGTTCACAAAGCTGCAATAAACTTCACAGTGCAAGAATGAAACATGAAACTTAAAAACACATCAATAAATGGAACACATGAATGACTTGCAGAAAATATGCTTTAATTGTACTAATCGGTTGAGTGTTGCAACAGCTGCTATGTCTGTACATTGTGGCAACAAATGATGCCACCTCATTAAGGGGACTGCAAGTCCACCAGAAACGAGTCACAGCAAAAAAAAACATGAGTCTCATGTGATGTTTCACCTACGAAGACCAGAAGTGACACTTTGGCTGTTTGTTTTATTTAAATGCAAGGAATCAAAAGAAAGAATATGTTACTAATTCTCTGTCTTAGTGCCTGCATTGTTCGTGTCGCTTAAGAGAAAGTGCATGGGAGTCCATAAAGTCGCATTGGAACAGAAACCCGTCACATTTTGTCGTAAAAGATGAGCCCTAACGTACACAGGTTTCTGATTCACCAACACGCAAGGTAAAAAGCCTGCAGCCTCATTGGACAGCATGAGAATGGCCACATTGTCACATTTTGTTTCCATTCACATGTATGAACACGCACATAAACACACACACAAAAAAAACATTTTTTTTATATGTTTTCACCTCCAGATAACTTACCGCCATGATAAACAATAGCCAAATATACTCTGATCTCAGAGTCACCTCTCCTCACACCGTTTTGATCTCTTTCACACATCTTCACCTTTAGTATGACGTTTGTTTCAGACGAACTGCAATCCAAAAGTGCTTTGAGACCTTATGGGCAAAATTGTGTACAATGAGTTCAAAATGAATCAATAATTACTTAAAAAGACTGGTTTTAGATTTAATTTTGCATCCATATAAAATAAATGGTGATGGACTTTTACACTATTTTTGTTTTTTTCTCTACTTGAAGTTTATTCAAGGAAATTTAATACTGAGTATGAACTTAAAAACAAATTCACATGGGTAAAATGATCAGCAGCTGGTAAAATTGTAGTGTAGAAATTGAGTAGATGGATGAGTTTATTTGAAGAAGGGAAGCAAAACTCCAAATGAATAATACTTTTTTGTACCGTTGGAGAAATTAGTATCAGTTTTGGCGACTGTCTCAACTCTGGAGTTACCTTAGGATGCTAAAAAGGTATAAAAGCAGACAAACATGTCGTTTTACAAGTAGCATTCAAATGTTTCAACCACTGAAATACAAATGCAGTAAGACAGCCAATCACAGCGCAGTCTATGTGAGCAAGGTGAGAATTTGTGCTGCCATCTTGGTAGGTGCTAAGTGGAATTCTTTCTTAATGCTAGAATCAACTATAAATGATTACTTTTTAGAGTCGACCAAGATGACCCCCATAACCAACTCGCCTTAAAAACACAAAAAATAGTTATGACTTAGCAAATTTCACTTGGTTTTGGGCTAGAATTTGATGTATTAGCTGAAAGTAATTTCCAATGTGTACTCTGAAGGCTGACAGACAACGTTAGATCTTGTGATGCAAAATTGCACATAACATTATTTTAAAGTTTTCACCAAAATGACTAATTTCTCAATGTAAGATTATTTTAGGTTCAAGTGTGAAAGGCAGCAGTTGATATGATATATTTCTTCTATGAATGACAAGCTTTTCATTCAAAGCTTTAATCAAAAAACAAGTGATTTTTACCAATAAATGATTAAAGTTTAAAATGACATCAGTTTGATTTTTTTTTCCCATGCCCCATCAACATGTTGATTTAACAATTTTTTATTTCTTGTATATTGTATTATTTATATAAAGTAGTCCCTCGTTTATCACGGGGGATCCGTACCCTGAAGCCCTGCGATAAGTGAAAAACCATGAAGTAGGAATGGTAGTACAACTACAAGTAGTAGTACAATAGTAGTACAAGTAGTAAGTAGTTTATTTTAGTATATATATATATATATTTTTTTTTATATATGTATATATACATAGATGTATATATATATATATATCTATGTATATATACATAGATATATATATATACATAGATATATATAATTTAATATGATTAAACAAATCAGTCCTGATGTTTCAGCTTGATAGTTCATTTAGTCAATATTATTGACACTAGTAGTCTAAATACTGTACTTCTACGTTCAACAAAATAATTTTTTTGAATTTTTTATTAAAAGTAAATTTTTAGAATTAAATTTTGATCTGAATAAAGTTCCAAATAGAAAACAATTTTACCTACTAAAATAAGTTTGAACAACATGCCTAAAGGTAACTCGAACCTAGCTGTGATATATAAAAAAGAGCAACTCGTGAATTTTGCATTACTGTCATCTAGAATTAAATTCATGAGATTTGGCATTGATCCTCTGGGTTTATCCATGCTCTAGTCTAGTGATTAGCGTGTCATTTCCATCAAATTGAACCATTTTCTACAAACTGAATTTATTCAGTTATCTACAACAGGTAATATGTTCATTGTTCATATCCCTTCCACATTTCCTCATATGAAATCTGAACTGTCATTAAGTCACAACTTTATACAACAAGTCATTTTTGGAGGATAAAAGCTGTATATTTGTATTTTTTTCTTCAGTTTTGACTACTTTTAACAAGTTATTTTCTTGAGTGTACTTTGAAAAACATTAGAAATATTTATTTTGATAGCTGGTTATTATTGTTCTGCTCTTAACTGAGCTGGAATTGCGGTGCGTTTATGCAGAAGGATGCACGTGTGCACTCTTCCACATGCATTACAGTCTCCCAGTGTTTGACTGCGTCTCCCTACGGTCAGCGGATTCACACACTCGACTCGGCTGAGAGAGAAATGCAGACGGTGCAGATGTCTGTCAGTCACACACACAGCCAGCCAGTGCACGTGGCTTTGGAGGAGACAATCAAACTGTACATTTGCCCTGTGGGGGCAGCATATTGCATTATCCTGGCTCTGCAGTGACAGCTGACAGCATCAGCCAGGTAATGAGATGGGGGGGAGTGATATAAATCGCATTCCTCCAGATTTCTCCGTTTTCTGGTCCCAACAAGCAGAAGGTGCTTTGTTAAGCCCTGAAATAGGTTCTCACAATTGACCTACACGTGTTTTCACATCTTTGAGCTGCCCTGGTGAGGAGGTGCGTAAAAAATAATGAGAGGCTGCAGAATTTTTTTGGTCCCCACAGAGTTTCTGAGAACAGCACACCTGCCAGCCGCTCGTACGAAGGGATTCTGTGGTTTAAACGATGGGTCATTCATCACACAAATTGGCTCTAGCCAGCACTTTTCTTACTCTAGAGGTGTTATGATTGGTGGGAAATTTATGCAAAAAGGATTATGTCAAAGTGCTTTGCTTGCTATGAAAGAAGGCAAAGTTTTTTTAGTATTCAAACTAAATAAAAGGAAACCCATTTTAAAGCTGAGTCAGTTGAGTTAATGATATCATTGCACACTCTAATGTTTCTTGATCTTCTGTCTCACTCCTTAGGATCATGTGTCAGAATCGGCCTACTCATTTTTATTGTATGACTCATCTCCTCAGTCATATCCTCTACTAGTCTCATGAGCCAGTCAAATGGAAAAAGTGCAAAAATACTCATTGTCACCGTTTCTGTGTTCATATTTTTCTGCACCACTGAAATGAAGATGCAGCATGGGAATACAACAACGATAAAACGCTTTTTTTGGGTGCGGATGAGCTGTTTATAGATTTAGCATTGTGCAACTTAATGCTCCAAAGGAAAGCATAGCTCAGCTTCTTGTTGCTTTTATTTTATTTAGATAGGCTCACAATTATCTTTGTATGCCCATTCAGTGCTGTCCAGGAGCATTCCTCTCATTTGTTACCATTTTGTGGCATTTTCTGTTGGGGTCATCCTTATTATTTGAATTTTACATAATAAGTAATCTAAAAAAAAAAACATAGATATAAAAAAGTTTTGCTTTTTGTTTATGTTTTGCTCTTTCATTCATATGCAAAAGCATGTCTTGCTGACTGCTGATCGTGTAGCTCACAATGCCAGACTTTGTGCTCCTATAAGACAAAGATAAACTAAGTATGCCAATTTTTGCATTTGCTCATGAATTTTAGCCCCTTAGTTGGGAAACAGAGACAGCAAAATTCATTTATAATAGTCACTGCCACATAATTCAACACACGGCGCACACAGAACCTGCTTCCAGTATCGTTGGAGTGATGAGTGATTGTTGCTGCAAAAGAGGGAAAAGTTTCATGTCAAGAACTTTTTACTGCACCAACCCTGGGAGAAGATCAAAATATTGATATGCCTTGTCAATGATGTGAAAAGAAAAACCTTGATGACACAGATAATTAAATGAAAAATATCCTGTCAAAATATACACTGTCTGGTCAACAAAAAAACAAAAACAAATCCCCACCTGGATTTAACTAAGCAAACAGGTACGAGCCTCCTACTGGATAATTACTGCATGAGTGATGATCTTTCAGCTGCAACAAGTGATTTAACCCCAACTGGTGCAATGAGTTTCTTTTCTTTTCTTAAACAACCATGTTGAAAGACTCATCGTGTGATGTGGAAAAGATGTCAGTCTGTTTGAGAAGGGTCAAATCATTGGCATGAAGCAGAGAAAACATCTAAGGAGATTGTAGAAACTACAAAAATTGGGTTAAGAACTGTCCAACACATTATTAAAAACTGGAAGAATAGTGGGGATCGTCTTTGAGGAAGAAATGTGGCCGGAAAAAAATCCTGAATGATCGTGATCGGCAATCACTTAAACGTTTGGTGAAATCAAATGGAAGCAGTAGCACTCAGGGTTGTGTTTAATAGTGAAAGTAAAAGCATTTCCACACACGCAATGTGAAGGTAACTCAAGGGAGTGGGACTGAACAGCTGTGTAGCCTTAAGAAAACCACTAATCAGTGAGGCTAACTGGAAACAAAAGGCCTCAGTTTGCTAGGGAGCATAAAGATTGGACTGTGGAGCAATGGAAGAAGGTCATGTGGTCTGATGAGTCCAGATTGACCCTGTTCCAGAGTGATGGGTGCATCAGGGTAAGAAGAGAGGCAGGTGAAGTGATGCACCCATCATGCCTAGTGTCTAGTCATCAATGCAAGATCTTGGTGAAAAATGAATGCAACACTGGATGGAAACAGATCTTGTGAGAAGTTTATCGAAACAATGGCACAGTGAATGCATGACGTGATCAAAGCTAAAGGCGGTCCAACGAAATATTAGTGGGACCTTTTTTTTTTTGGTGGCAACTTTTTTTGGGGGGCCAGACAGCGTATTTTTGAGCTTCAAGTCAACTAACTGCTAAAAACCGTAAAAAGTTTGTGCTTCACATCCGTTTCCATCGTCATCCTTCGGCCTCTGACTCACATTTACTTACTGTATCATCTTTCTTTCTTTCCCTGAACAACCACAATGCTGAGCTTGAGTTCTCAGGTGTGTAGTGAAACCCATATCTTAATATAATGTAACTGCATCCGGTCTGATGTAACCCTCTGAGCTCATGATTTGTGGGGCTGAGTGGAGTAAAAGGCAGAGTGATTAACTGCACACATTTTTAGAACGTCTCCATAGTTTCTTCTAACAATAAAAAGATTGTATTTTTTTTAATCAAATAAACAAAATACTTATATCAGTAGCAGAACAAATGTTTCCGTACATTATTACAGTCGTTTAAATAATCCGTTCCACACAAGCCTGCAGCTTACACCCTGATAATGTGTCGTGTACTTATACCATATTTAGCACATCAGTTTGCCTTTAATAGCTAATAATGTCTCAACTTT